GGTGGGTTGACTGTTCTCGCCCTTCGCTACACAGGGCTTGAGCTTATTGCAAACTAGCTGCAGAAAAAAGATATTTGAGGCCATTTTTGCTTCTTTACTATCTGCTGTTTTTATTTTTTTGCATGCTTTCTTGTATTTTATGGATTTTGGCGTTTTCTTGCCAATTTTGTTTTATCAAGGGGAACATGACATTTTTTTCCCAAAGCATTTTGGTCTTTTGTTTCTGTGAACAAATAGAGAAAGAAAAATATGGGAAAAAATCTTTAGGGTTCAAAGGGCCGAGTTGTGTTTCATCTTGTAGCAAATTTCTCTAATCCTGTTCAAGTTGCCAGTATGGAGCATTGCTGAAGTGACAAGTCTGCATTGTAACAACTGTAATCTGTGGCAAATGAAGGTTTCCTTTCAATGTGAATCCTTTTATCTCTAAAAGTACAGTTTGCAGTTGGAACATCAATATCAAATTTCATTGCAAATCCTTAAATCTCCAAACAGATAAGGGAATCTGATTTTAAAAATTGTCTTAGTATGTCTACCAGTAATAACCTTGATGAAACTGAGATGAAACTGTGTTCCTGGCAGCCAGGTGAGAACTACATAATTCCAGTTGGAAAACAGAACAAAAATATAATATGAAATTGAATGTTTGAATGACAACACAGGTTTCATTAGATCTTGTGAAATGATGTAGCTGTCTTGAATACTCAGTTTGCTTTTGCACAAGTGAGTGGTTATAGCCAGTCAGTTAAAAAAAAGGTACTGAAGGCATTCAATCAAACTGACACTTTCTCTATCAGAAGTAGCTGACCTTGACTTTTCCCCTGGAAAGACTGAGCTGTGTGTTAATTCTTATTAATTGTACTGCAGGCGTTATTACGAGGGGGTGGTATTTCTCACCCAATCAGGAAGGCGCTGAATTGGACAGATCTGATCTTATTAGCCTTGCCCCCAGAGTGAGGGAAGAGGACTCAGTTCAATGACTTTCAGCTTGAGTTTGTCTTTTGCTGTCTCACCACCTTTTTGACAGTCCTCACACATCAGTGCAAATCTGTGAATCCTGCTTCCACTGTGGGCCAAATGACCATATGATATAACCTTTGACATCCCAGTTTGATTTAAAAAGGTATATCTGCTTAATATGGATGCAACTGTCTGTAGCTATATCTTATATCTCTGCATGAAAGAGAAATAGCAGTCAGTGTTAATAAATTAAGGCTATGAGTAGTTTCCTCCTCATTGACCAGCTGGCACCATTATGCTCCATAGGCTTCCTGTAGCATGGATTCATTTTCTGTGCTTGCCATTCTGTCGTGGATATCGGCTGACCTTACTGTCATAATACCACAAACATCAAAGTGACTGAGGCTCACCTCACCCTCTAACCAATCAAATTTAGTCTACCCTAGCACCTTTTTGCAATGAAACTGCCTTAGACTTCTGACCTTGCATTGCGCAGAGGTACATATTAAATAGTGCAAGGAGTTCCTGTTACAGAGACAACATCTAGCTGCAAGTGGTATTAACATGGTGTCAGTGTGAATGGGTCTAATTATAAGCAGATGACAAGAATTAATGGTTAGTGATGAAAAATGGAGGGAGTGACACACTTTCATTGAAAATAATTCCTGTGGTTGAGTGTGTGGCAGCAGCTGGCTTTAACGCAGCTGGTACATAATGAGCCATTATCTGGCACAGTAACCCACTGAGCTACCAGCATGGCAGCAGGAAAACAGAAAATCTGTGAGGCGCCTTTGCATTTTATGCATACTCCTCATTCAGGTCACTAAAAAGACGCTCTGTTTAGGGATGGCTTTCCAAAGCTCTTCTCATATCTTTCCTCATTTGAGCTCTCACAGTCCTCTTTTGACAGTCAAACTGAGGTGAAGTGATGCTGAAGTTTCCCCTCATTGACAGGCATCCCTGCTATTGGTCCACAGGGGGAAGGCAGAGAACAGTCTGCTGTTTCCAGTGGTTGATCTTTGAACAGTAAAAGTTAATACTGAAACACAGTACTCGCTAATTCGTTCCAGCCTCTGCTTTCCCCATGGCAAAACAGGCAGGAAAATATGTAAAAGTAGCTATAGAACTTTTTGTATGTACCTCGTAAGAGAGGAACCTTTTAAACTGTAAGCATCTAAAGGGAATAATCCTTTTTAAAGAGTAAAGCTGAATACGAGAATTCGTTTTTTGTTTGTTGGACTGAGTTATCTGCATCCTCACAGGTTACTGAAAAAAGGAGCAACTAGTATACAGGTTAAACAGTATCAACAAATTCTGGCATCCTTACTAGCCCTGCTTGGTGCTACCTCTTGTCAATTAGGAAAAGTGCTACACACGGCTTCACACACAGACAGAGGGGACAGTCATTATATTACATCACATTATTGTCATTTAGCAACTAAAGTCCAGAGCGACTTATACATAGGTTACAATGTTACCCATTCGTACAGCTGGATATTTTAGTGAGGCAACTGTGGCTTAAATACCTTCCCCAAAGGTACAGCAACAGTGCCCCATCAGGGAATCGAACCTGCAACCTTCTGGTTGCGAGCCCTGCTCCTTACCACTGCGCCACACTCCTGCTTGTCAGGGGAAAGCCCTGCATTAAAGGCCCGGTGCAGCCTTCAGCTGCCAGCACAGTCTGTGATCAGAGACGCATCATTCCCCGAATGCCTCAAGGTGTGAGGTCTCCCGCAGCAGCTAGAAGCTAACAATGTCACCGGGTGAAACCTAAGTAAGCTGCTGATTTTGGCGTTCCGTGTAGCTGGGCAGGATGCTATTATCATCTGAGTGTGACGCGTGGTCAAAGCGAATGAAACCGATGCCTGGCAGCTGGAATCAGGTGGGCTGCACACGTTTATTCTCCTGGATGACAGCTGTCAGGCCTCAGCAGACCCGCGTTTGATGGACAAACCGCCCGCGGCGTCAAACCATCAAACCGTCCACCATGCATGAAATGTTATAGCGTTCATTTGACTGGCCACGCTGATGTTGGAATGATATTGAAATGATGTACTCTGGCTCACTGCTTTGAGAACTTTTAGAGTGGACTCATGCTTAATGTCATAACAAGTATAACAGATTATACAGATTATAGCCGTAGCCTGTGAGGTGTTTCTCCTGTGTGTTGATTCTCAGGTTTCTTACAGTCCTCTGTTTCACTAATGTTGAAGTGAATCAGAGGCTGAATTAATAAATCAGTCTTTTTAATATTGCCATTACATTGTCACCATAGCTAGCACCATAGCAAAAATTTAAAAATACAGGAAAAAATGCTCTGATACTTTCTTTGACACAATGTGTAAAAATGTATCCTGTATTTTTTCTCATCAGGATACCAATACATGCACTTTTCAGCTACTAAGATTTACATTTGTATCATTTGGTATGAGAACCGCAGAAAATCAGGAGTGACATGCACAACAATTGATAATATATAAATATATAAATACATGTGAGAAATGTAATAAGGAACACGCTAAGCACATTTGGACACTATATTTCAACATTGCAGATGATATAAATAATTGCTTGGATAATCCTTATTGGTCTTTTTCCATCATTGTGGCCGCTTAATGCACATACTTTGCTTTTCTATTGCTTTCTTACCAAAATGTGGTTAAGAGGAGAAATGCAAAAGAGCAATTTAAAGAGTTGCTCAATCATGAATCATAATTTACCCCTGCATTCCAGTAAAGCAAACAGTGGCAATTTAAAACTGAAGCACAGCAGAATGTTTTCAGCAATAAATGTGTGGCGAGGCAGTTAAAAAAAAAAAAAAGTGACATTATTGGGTTGATGCAACGCAAGCAAGTTCAGCATTCAGTAAGGTCATTTACAGTCTGAAATGCTTATCGTCTCTTTTGATGCAGTGCTTACACCATTGTCTTGCCTTGTTTGAAGAACAGGAGAGGAGAGAGAGGAAAAGGGAGGCTTTGATTTCTGAAAGCTCTTCATTTTACCATCAGTGGGAGAAACTAGAGCACAATTAAAAATAAGCGAGAAGTGACACTTCAAGGGACAGATGTTTTTGATCAGACCTTTTTCATTTATTTTTAAAAAAAGACGAATCTTACAGATTACATTTCAGACATCAGATAGTACACTTTGTGCTTGCAGCACATTTTTTTTCACCATGAGAGAGACTTTAGACCAAAGCAGTTGAAAAGATAATGTCCACAGGTGTGCTGCGCTAATTTGTGGTAACAATGTAATGGAGAAACGTCTTCCTGGGGGCTAAAATTTCTAATGAGAAACGTCTTGCTGGAGGACCGCATCACTCATGCTAAGGATGTTTTCTCCCTCAGCTGGGAGTTGGAGGCATTGGATAGCTTCACAACCCCTCTGTTCATTAGTCTTAACTGGGCGAGCTGGGATGGTCCAAGAGACCCATGCTGCTCTGCATTATTTTCATCTGTCGTGATCGTGGCTTGACAGATGGGGCTTCCCTGCGCTTTAGAGGCGGAGTCGGTTTCGCCCCTTTGCGTTCACTAATACAGGAGTCCCATCAGTCCTCACGTTTCAATGTTCCCAGGCAGCTCGGTATACGCCTACTGCCTACTGCATCTTTCACCTCCTGTCCTGATGAAGACTGTTTACGCAACGAGCGGCGTCCCGGCAGGAAATATGAGCCGCTGAACGCCTGCTAACCACTGTGTGAAAGCTGAATGCTCATCCTGTTCCGTTTGCACGGTACATCCCGCTACAACTGACACCCAGAATGAATCTTTAACAAGAAGCGCTCGTACGTGAAAGGAGGATATCAGGACCACCCATCTGCTGCTGATCTGTGAAGTAGCTGGAATCATTGAGAAGGAATTTCACAAGGAGCAGAGAGGGTTGTGGAATTTTGCTTAGGGTGACTTCCCCGTTACATTACATTATTGTCATTTAGTAGAAGCTATTATCAGGGGTTGCTTACATAGATTATAACGTTTACATGTTTTACTTGTTGAATATTTACTGAGGCAATTTTGGGTTAAGTACAATACCCAAGGGTACAGCAGCAGTGCTCCGGGGGGGGATCGAACCAGCAACCTTTGGGTTACAAGCCCTGCTCCTTACCGCTATGCTACACTGCCACCCTCACTTTCTCATCTAAAAGTATTTCACATTGCATCTATGGGGAGCAATCAATGTTAAATGAATTTGAAATGTGTTGCGGGCTGAACTGACGCAGGCCAAAGGGGCCTTCAGCGACGTCAGAGAGAAGTGGGAGACTGCTCTCTCTGCGAGAGGAGTGGGTTCAGCACTGCTGTTCATTAACCGTTTGTATTGATCAGCAATATCTCCCATAGTCTTCAGTCATCGCTCCGGGTTCTGCTGCCGGATGGCTTTTGAAAGCGCAGCAGAATCAGGGTGACGTGAGTAATTCAGTTTGCAGTTCTGCTTTTAGCTTTGAACTCCTCTGCCGCAATGCCGGGACCATGACTCCAATTTGGTCTGAGTCAGTGAATCGAGCAGAAATAGCCTATAGAATGGTGGTGAGTTAGAGGGCAGGATTAGAGAACAGAGTTCCTTGGGCGTATTTACGGTCTGAGTGTAAAACTGCACAATTGTAAAAGTTCTCCAGGAAGAACCAAACTAGAGCATTTCATATTCAGACCTATTCGCAAAACTAGAATTCTACAGGCACCTAACGCGTTTCAAATAAGGGTGTCTGAAATAATGTTGCAGCCTAGCTACCCCTTGGTGTGAAAAGAAGCAATGATCATGGCTGTAAAAGGAGCAGAGCTAGTGTTACCTAACTGTGTGCTGTGCGATGTGTGCAAAACAAACAAACCAAAGTGGCAAGAGGAAGACCTCCCAACCCAGGGTAGCAAAAGTGAACATACAGACTGGGGATCCCCTTCCACACCAGCGCTCTCCTCTTAGGCTCCAACATCCACCGGAGCCACATTAGTGGTTTGGTCGGTTTAGTTTATTTGTATAAAAAACAATGGCACAAACGTGACAGGCCCACTCTCAGCTTGTATAGACAGTCCCAGCAGATCAAACAGCGTAACGAAACAACCTTGGGCTAGAGTTGTCGTAGGCCCCAAACAAACATTGTCTAAAGGCATTGTGCCAAAAACCAATGTCAATCAAAAGGCCGAAATTGTTGTCAGCCACAATCAAATGTTTGTCTCCCCATTCAAACTCTAACCGAAACAACAGCCATGTCAAAGATTGCGCCATGTGTATTTCGCCCTGCCTCGCTGCCTCCTCTTCTGGCCAGCAGTTCAACTTTGTGGCAAGTTCCGTGGCGATATCAGCAACACGTGCCAGTTAAAACGCAAAAAAAAAAAAGTGTGTGTGTGTGTGTGTGTGGAGGGTGTGTGGCTCTAACCCTATTATATCTCCCCACAAAAAGGAAAAATAATTAATAAAACAATTTTTATTACATTTTGTCACCCAAAACAAGCCCACTACAATACATTTACATTTAGATCCTTCATTAAAAACTAATCCTACCCAGACCACACACCTCTGGATCTAATGGAAGTCTGCAATAGCATTGCCTTTTCCAGTAGTAGGCTACATTGGAAAGCCGGTTCAAATCCACTCCGTCAAATCCACGCAGCCGCCTTGCCAGCTACAGAGTTCGCAAGAATCGCACACAACAAAATACATAACCAGCAAATTTGCGAAGGGTCAGCTACAACACATATGCAGCAGTACCCAGGCCTATCCTAGCAAACAAACAAACAAAAAAAAATACTGCGCTACCCGCAATGCTTAACAAACACAACACGCAATAAAACTGCGCAAGTAGGGAAAGTTAACCGCAGGACACGAGCCCACATTTATTACTACAATCCTCCCCTGGCTCGAAATGAAACGATGGAAGTGGCAGTGAAAGAACAGAGCCCATGTGACCTCACTGCGTGCTGTGTGAACGTGCGCAACAATCAAACAAACCCAAAAAGTGGCACGAGGCAGCCCTCCCAGCCCAATGTAGCAAAAGAGAACCTACCGACTCCGGGATCTCCCTGCACACCAGCTCTGTCTTCGGGGCTCCATAACCACAGGAGCCACTGCAGCGCCTGGTTCATTTTAGTTCATTTGTATAAAAAAAATATGGCAAAACGCGACAGTATCGCGTCCCAGGGAAAGGCGAACAACGTCAAACAAATCACCGCAATGGCTGCCAGCCACAACCAAACGATATCAACTGGTCTCCCCATTCAAACTGTATTCAAAACAGTAGCCGCGAAGGTCTTCGTCGATTTCAAAGATTGCGCCATGCATATTTCACCTTCCCCCTCTTCCGGTCAGCAGTTACCTTTCTATGCACACCTGGAAGCTGCCTCGAGCTGCGCGGTGACATCAGCGACACGTGCCAAGAAATAACCAAAGCAAAAAGCGTGCGTGTGCGTGAGGACGGCGTGTGGCCCTAACCCTAACGATAGCCACAAGCCAGGGAATGTATTGTGTGTATTACACCTACAAGGACTATCAGATTTGTCTAAGTGTTCACTGCAGTGCTATAAAATATAAAATCTTCTCCATCAAATTAAGCCCATTTGGAATCAAAACCATCCCCTTGCACAGAGGAACTAGCTATCTATTTGTTGCACTTGTGATAAAATGATTATTGCTCCTTGGAATAGAATAGAAATGCATGGTTGCATGAATCAGTGGCTTCAGAGTGGAATAAAACAAGCAGTAAACATTTTTAAAATGTTTCTCATATAAAATTGAACAGTGTAAGTGAGATAGCAATATAACACAGCGATAACAGAACAGTATAACAATATAAAAAGAGTATTTTTCATCTACCTCCCTTTAGAGAATGCTCTTTGTGTACCAACAGAAACCTTTTCTATAGATTCCAATTTGTCTCTCATCCTCACCCATTACATCTGAATCCCTCCACAGTGAGACAACACATGGAAAACATCAAACATCACCTCAGCACACAGCACACAGACAACACACTGTGGAAGGGACCTTTCATTTGAGACTGACAAGATACCTGCTCCCTTTGAAAGAGTAGAATTCTCTCTGCAGCTGTGAGGTAACGCAGCTGAATAAACTGCATGAAACAGACCTACAAGGGACGTGATGTTCTGGTAGCGCAGAGAGACACAAAGGCATATATGAACAGCTTCTGACATGATCAGGCCCACCCAGAGACTGGTGGCATGCAGCATGCTAAAGCCAGGCAGTATGCTCTTATCTCAAACATTTTATTATTATTATTATTATTATTATTATTATTATTATTATTATACATTTTGTCTGTATAATAATATGTCTCTTAACGTTATCACATTCACTTTTATCTGAGTTAGATCAAATGAGATCTGTGATCTGATCTGAGTTAGATCAAGCCAGATTGCAATAGACCAGCTGTTATCTCAGAATTATTTTATCTTTGTCATATGAAGTCCTGTAGCTGCTGATTTACACAAGAATGATAACATCTGTACAGGAGGTTTTGTCTCCAGTCTGCAGTCAGGGGCTGCTCTAACAGACTGCTGAAGCTCAGTCAGATGGACTGAAGGCAGGAGTGGATTCAGGGAGTGTATAGGCTTTTTCATGCAGGACCTTCAGTAGTGGACCCAAATAAATAAAGAGTTGCCCTAAAGTTGACTGATTCTAGCCCTGATTTATCCCTGATAACGATAAATTAAGAGCTCAACAGCATTGTTCTTTATGTCGGTCAGATGTTTATGTGCTACTGTAACATAACTGCGGGTAAAGTTTTTGGCAGGTCAGTGCATTTTTGCAAGAATCCTCTTAGAGTTGCATTTCACAAGCCTGGAGAAGGACCTGAAGAAGGACCATCAGCTGCAAATGAAAGATTATCCTTAAATAGGGTAATGTCACAATGGCTATTTCTGGCATACCGTCTCTTGTGGGTAGAACGTGAGTTTTTACCTGTGCTTGGAAACCATGTCCTGAATCACATTCTATGACTCTCTAATCTCTAAAGCTGTGATACATCAGCCCTCACTACAGCCAGCACTTACAGTGTGACAGATGCAGCCGCAGGAAAATTAGTTTGCGAAAAATTGTTTCTGCTATGCAGTATAAATACAGTATAAATGGCATGGATCACTGGTCAAAGTTAAGGGCCTCAAATGCAAAGCCACAGTGGGAGATGCCTGATGGATTCTGAAATCAAATATTGTATGACTTGGTTCCCATGGGCACCAACATGCCTTCATATTCCTGAACCAGTTCGATACAAACTGAACCAATTTCTCCATTCCTCCTTGATAAGCAGTAACCTCAGTCACCAATTCTTTACATATCAATCAGGCCCTGCTTAGCACAGCTAACGCACCACACTCAAATTAATTGCATATAGTATTCAATACCCATCCAGTTTCCTCCTCTAAATGCTTGAAATGTGCGATTACGATTGGACGTAGGACAGGAAGTGATCGCTTCCGCCGCACGCTCGATTTCAGCTGCTGATTGCATCGGCAGTGTATTGCACAGGCAGAATGGCACATTATGATTGCAATTTGCATCATTCTAAAATGCATCATCCACCACAAATCACCGGTGATAAAAACCGTTTCAGACAGCCGTGGGTGGGATGGGGGCAGTGCAGTGCGGGGTAGATCCTCCTTAATCCTAATGAGAGGTCAGCGAGAGTCTGGAGGATAATTTAGGTGCGAGTTTGCTCTTTATCTTGTGGACTCTGTATGGGAGCATAGCATTTACTGCTTATCCCACAAAGCCAGCGGTGAGAGGTAGTTGTTCCCCACAGCATATTGTATCCTCTGTAGTGCATTCTCACCATCACGTCCTCCACTGCTGTGGGCTGGTGGATTTGACATTTGATTGGTTTGTCCCAGGGTCATTGCAAAGCCAGAGCACCTCGTGCACATGCTGATATTAGCTGTGAGACATGAGATGGTAGCTGTGTGACAGACTGGCAGTGTAACATTAGGCAGGTCTTCAGGCTGTGCCAGGATGTCCAAGTCTTAAACTGGTCCTCAGTCACTCTGATACAGGGTCAATACCTTGGCGGCCAGAGGAGCTCCTTCACCTCAACAGCCGACAGGTAGGGGAGAGTTCTGCCTCTCAAATAAGACAAGTACAGATACTCACAGTGCAGCAACAAATTGCTGTGGATATTGGA